AAAAGCGCTTTAAAATTCTTCAAAATACTTAGAAATCTTAAAAGGTCAAAAGCCAATGACAACAAAATGAGCAATTGGACCACTTTCTACGAATAATCAAAGCATCTAGGTAAATAGGCTTCAATAATTTTTATTAAACGAATAAATTCTTGCGAGATGGTAATTTTCTTACTTGTATTTACTTATTCTGCTTCGCTTCTTCTTTGTATCCTATTTTCCTTCTTTATTGTCTGGGCGCCAGCTCAAACGACTATATAGTTGTAGTTTAATTCTAATTTTGTTTGTTTGTTTGTTTATAGAGAAAGTAATTGTTTGAAAAAAAATAATAATAATTTAAGATTCCAGCAAATTTTTATCTAATATGAGTAGTCTTACCTCAGGGTAATTTGGATTTAAATATTGAATTTAACACAAGTCTGTACAATATTATGGGTTTATACCTCTTTACCACTGTCTAATACACTAATTTCTTTTCTTCTTGGTCCTTTATCTCCTCTAGTTCTTTCCTGTACCTGCTAGCACAACATTTGTTCCTGACTTGTCATCTGTCATATAACTCCTTGTTTGTCTCCTTGCTAATATTTCTATATTACTATTCCCTGTCGTGACTTGAATTAGACCTGTGTTGACTCGATACTGGGTAATGCTCTATAACAGTTAACTTTGTTTTGTTATTGGACTTACTTAAGTTTATATTGTCCGTAATTTTCAATTAATTTAGTTCTTGAGATTGTTTTCTTCTACTCCTTATAAATGGTTTTTCTTTATTGAATACATTTGTTTCTTTCTAGCAACCAAATTATCTTTCTTTTAAATTAAAAAAAATATTTTCAAAACTTTAGCTGTATTTATTATTTTTCTTTCTTAGTTACTTCACTCTTTTTCTTTTTATGTCCCACAATTTTTTTTAAATCACTTTCTAATTCTAGTAATCCAAATTTTTACTGCCTATCACATTTTCAGTTTCGAATATACTTACATTACATTATATTTCTTTAAATTTTTTTGAAATTCATATTTTACGAAAATTTTTAATCGATTTTACCAGTTTTATTTTCCCAAATTTGCCTTTCTCTTCGATATTTTAAAATCTTTGCCCCTACTCATTCTATTACAATACTTTACTTACAGTGACTTTCTACTTCAAATCTCGTTGTGAAGAAGAAGAAGAAGAAGCAGAAACATGTAGGATCATGCACTCAGATGCTCATATTCATCTAAAAGAGTATTTTCTACATACATTATAAAACGCAAACAGGTTCCAGTCTAACATTTAAAATAGGAACAGCTTTTTTTCTTGTTCTAATTAATTTGAAATTCAGATTTCCATGTCGTTTATTCAATTAGGCTGGTCGCAGTTCGGTTTTATTATTTTTTAATTATCTCTTTCGAACACGCAGGTAGCTTATTTACATTTCTTGTAAATTAATTTGTAGCAGGGATTGCTGCTAATTTATTCGGAATTCGAGGTGTGCATTAACCGCAAGTGCAAACCAGATTTAAATGGTGGTTAAAGGCCCCAGGAGACGGTGGTTCTGTTTGGATTTCAACGTAGGTGGCTCGTTGGTTTCGTTTGCGGGTACCTATCAGTTTGTCTTTGTTACACATACCTCAGGATGGCTCCAGATGTGATCATTTACCAAATATTTACTAAATGTAAAAAACTGCAGTGTGGTATGGACGACTAATTGGTGGAGAACGCGAACATATATGCCGTATCGTGTGGATGGTGCACATCGATACATTGGAGAGCAAATACAAACGACTCACTATTTGACTGTTCACCAAGTAATATTACTTGATATGTATGTGCGTGATAAGTTCACTCAAGGGGCGGTAAATAAAAACAATATTTCCGTCATAGATATTTTTCAAATCAAGAATGTGGAAAATTAAATCACACAGGTACTGAAATCCTTAATTTAAAATAGGAATCAATTTTAATACGATTTCTGTAACCCTTAAAAATATGTTTTCAATACCTTGTATAAGAAAACTATACCATTATCTGCTGCCCAATCGCAAAGAGTTAGTCACCAATTCGATGTAAATGAGACAAAATTTGACAACAAAGTATGAATAATGACAATGACAGACAGCGACATAAGGCAATGACATCATATTATAATTTTCATTTAATTAATATGGACAGCATGCCAATTCGTACACATTGTTATTTATAGAACAAATATTTATGCTAATAGCGATATTTATACATATTGTATCGGCGTATACGAAGGTGTGCGCTAGACTATTTCGAGAAAAGAGAGAAATTGGAGTGTTAACAACGATAACATTGAAAATATAACCTCTTGAAATTGTGTAAAGTGTTATAGTTCATATTACAAGGACTTGAATTAAAATTCTAATTTATTAATTTATTTGTCAGTGTTTGTGGATGAAGCAAAATTTTCTATTTAAAAGAACAACAAACATAGATAATGTAGGTCTGTATTCAAGCCATGAATTATAGATAAGGTCACAAGATATTTTTCCAGTCATTGTGAGGAAAAAATGATGCATTCACATATAAAATTCGCAATTATGTCTTATTGGCCCATTTTTTTAAAACACTTGTTTAACACAATAAAATAATATGTGTTCGCAATTGAAGAATAAAGCACATTCTGCACAATAATATTTTTATTACAAAATAACGATAACACTAACTAAATCAGGTACATTTTTTTCATATGAAGCGAATTTGTACTGCACTGACACTTAGAATAGCTACCTTAAAACAATACCTACAGTTTAATCTATATAGTTTCTGATAACCGTTATAAAAATGTTAACAATAACAATAAAACAGCAAAGTACTTCCTTAACCTAAAATTGACTCAATATAAATTAACACTAGTAATAATAAAAATAAATGTAGCATATTTACAGATGTGTCTTAAGATTAGGTAAAACTACCTATTGACACAGATACATTTCTTAAGACATACGTATGTTTATATATCACTCGAATTTACATCATGTGGCTTTACCAATTTTTCATCACTGTTAATAAATTTATTTCTTTGTCGCCGACATGTTTAAAAAAAAACTGATGTATCTGCATCTGTAGGCACCTTAAGTAAATATAATGTTCTTAACTGAAGTCACTCGGTGAAAATAGAATTAGGTCAGATTCAGGTTTGATTAAAAAACGCTAATAATAAAAATAAAATTATTAAAGGTACATCAAGAGACATCTGGCAAAAATTTCTAGTTGCTATTAAGATATTTTAAAGAAAAATCTGTATGGAACATAAATATTAGTAGCATTGGAAAATATGTTGTGCCCTTATTAGATTGCAATAAAAACAAAGGAAATGATCTGTATTATTCTTTCGTTTCCGTTTAAATTTTGATCCAGCCTGTGGAATAAGTATGGTTAGGTGTGCTGTGCGTTTGAAAAAGGCTGTTTATTAAATCTGTGAATGTCCTGAACGCACAATGAATAATTATACACGCAGCCCGAAAAGACGCGACAAGAAAATATTACGACTAATAATATGCAAAGTTAATATTCATATTAGAAAATCCAGAGGATATGCTGCGGTGTCTCTGTGCATGCGAAATTACACTGTAATCGTTTTATTTTCAGGAACAGTCCGACAAATGCTTCCACGATTTTACAGCTCATGTATTTTATGGTTTCCCTGTATCATATGCTTTTTGTTTTATAATTCGTCAGTCGCTCACGTCAGTACACGCATTTTTTTCACAACACTTTTACTAAGGTTTCTAAAAAATAGAGGTTGACCGACTAGCGGTTTATTTTTATACATAACTTTCCTGTATCTACAAGCGATATCATTCGTTTTTTTTTTTCAACTGTGTCCGGGACAATTCGTCTTTCATTTGACATGCTCACCAGTTTAATGTCACTTTTATATAAAATATGAAACAAAAAACTTCATAACAAAATACATTTTGAAAAAATTATAGTCACATTTTTACCAAAAAAAAAAAATGGACTTAAATTAATGTATTCCGAAACTTTCTACCAAACCTATTTTATGTGTTTTCTTTTCTCATTTTTCAGTATTTATAAAGACGTTTTTTTCCCCAAACTGAACCTAAGTCACTGAGTTAATTTAACAATTTTCCTTAACAAGAAAAATTATATGAAGTTAAAGGAAATTTAGACCAGAGCGGATATGTCGAAATATCCCACTTCTTAGATGTAAGAGGGAGCAAGCTAATGTTTAAAATGTTTAAATTTATTACCGACGTTGCAAAATAGCAATAATTGATGAAAAAAAAGCAAAATAATCAAATTTTTTGGATAATTCTTTTAAAATATCTTAATTCTTCAGGGTATAATAAAACAACAGGCCAAATTTCATTAAAATTGGTTCTATAGTTTTTGCAAAATAATTTTTTGAAAACAAATTTTGAAACAAAATTTTCGAATTTTCAAAATGTTGCTCAACCTTTCAAATGGTTTTTGAAAACTCTTTTTTTTGTGTTTAAACAGTTACATAGATTACATTTATCAATTTGCAATTTAGTTTTTTCAAATTTCAATTTTTCAAAAACCTTTTGAAAGGTTGAGCGGTCTTTTCGATTTTAAAAATTTTTCAAGATGCTTTATTTGAGGCTGTGCAACATTTTGAAAGTTCGAAAAATTTTTTTCAAACATTTTTTCAAAAAATTATTTTGCGAAAACTCTCGAGCCGATTTGAATGAAATTTGGTGTGTTGTTTTATTATACTCCAAAATTAGAATGCTCTCGGAGCAATTAAAATATTTAAAAAAATATATCCAAAAATCTTTATTATTCTGCCTTTTTTTCATCAATTATTGCTATTTTGCAAAATTCTGTTCTAAAACTTTTTTTCCTCTTCAATATTCTTCCAAAATGCATGGGTTCTAAGATATAAGTAAAAAACTCAGATAAAATAGGTTTTTTAAAAATTTTTTAAACATTTTTGCAATTTTGAAAATGTTCCGTACCTCCCCCAGATTAAGGATCTACACTTTTATTATGGAAGTTGTACTGAAGGTAATCCAGAAAAAAATTGCTTGCCCCCTCTCACATCTACCTCAAAACAGAACCGCCCTGATCTAATTATATTCTCGCAATTACAGAGACACTCAAAATTTAGACGCCAGGCCTACATATAACTGTTATATAGGGTGTTTTATTAAGAAGAACACAGCTTAATGGGAGATTCTTGATTTCAAAATAGTGTAATTCGTTACTTTTTATTTAAATTTGGACAAAAATTTTTAGATAATATTTACTTCACTAATATGCATCACCAATGAGATTACTATTTTTAAAATTTTTGCCATAAAACATGCCTTCTTGAATTTTCAGCTTGATCATGAAATGAAATATTGTTAAAATTCCGAATTTTCCACATATCTTTGATGCGTATTAAAAAAGAACATCATTGTATTTAATGAATTATCCAAATTTGACCTCAGAAATTAAGCTGTGCTCCACTCCAAGTAATACACCTTGTATATTTCCGACAATACCCAAATATCTCATTTTTCCCAAAGACTACCATAATAGACTGTGATTTTTTCTTAATTAGATGATTTTTATATTGTAAATGTGTTTTTAAAGTGTAGTAACATAAACTTAAAAATACAGGAGATATAAATAAAGTTCTACATTAATAACTACTCAATATGAGCAACACTCGTAAGCACAGTCTTTAAGCATCGTAATATTTTTTAGAATATAACTTCCATTAATCTTTTGATAAATAAACACTGTACTTATAATTATAAATCGCTTCTAAAACATTGAAACTAATTTCAAGTTAATAATTAGTAATTCGGTATTTTTATATATATATGACTGTCCTTACAAGTCTAGTGTGGTATATAACTTTAAATTTACAACCAGTCTTCATTCATTCTTCTCTGTATCACCTTTACATACGTCAATACCCTCAAAATATTCACATTCTCCAAGCCATAAATATGTCTGTACCGTAGATGTGTCTTCCGTCAAATTCATATCTACGAATCTCCTCATCAGATTAGACTCTAACTAACATCACCAATTCAATAATTTTAATAATACTATTTGGATCCAAGGTACAGACTTTTCAAAATCAGTCGTCGGCAAGTGCCTGAAACCTTAATCGGTCAACTCTTTCTTCAATGTAAAGACCTTGCGGCACCACTAAAAGTATCTGTCTATGTTGATCAGGTTGACCACGGCGTTGTTCTTTACTTTTGTTAAAGGAGGGTTGAACTTGTTGGCCAACGGCGTGTCCGTCAGGTCTATGATTCTCGGATACGATTGGTTCGGGAACATGTTCTCGCTTAATCTGTAAACGCCTGTATTTACTAGCGAGAGATACATCAAGTTGCCTAGCGGCGCGAAGCTGTTCGGTTCTATAAGAAATATAATATTGTTGTCCATCATGAGGTTCCTCAACTTTGGAAGCTTGTAGAATGTGACTTCGTAGATCTGTTCGATCTTGTTATCGGACAGTATCAGCGTTTCCAGTGAGTGGGACTGCAGGAACGATCTACTTGGGTTGAAGCTGATTTTGTTGTAGGACAGGTCCAATTTCTCCAGCCTCGGATTGGGTTTGAAGGTGTTGGGGTCTATGATGGTTATGTTGTTTCCGGATAAATCAACCATTTTCAGTTGTTTCAGTTCTCTGAACGCGCGTTGGCTGATTTCTGATATCTTGTTTTGGCACAGCTCGATTCTGTGCAATGTCTTGTACTGGTTATGATGGAAGACGTAAGGAGGTAATGCCGCAATGTGGTTGTAGGCGAAATTGATGGACCTTACGAAACTGTCTCCTGGGGGAATGCGTTCTAGACCTTTTCCCATTTGGACGACGTGCATTGGCATCTGCGTTGTCGTCTCATGGAGTTGAGGGAATAGGTCATCGGCTTGCAAGGGCACTGATCTGAAAATAAAAATAAAACTGTGACTAACTTAAGTTGCTGTTGCAGAATTGTCTGGTAATGCCTATTTTTCAATATATTCTCCCTATTTTGTAACAACTGTCACAATCTTGTAAATGTTCTTTACAAGAAGCTTTAAATTATTAGACAGTTGTTATAAATATGATGGACTTGATGGACTTACGTCAATATTTATTTATTATCACTGATTAGGAATGCAATCGCCAGTGCAATAACATGGAAATGTGCTGTTATTTACGTTAATATCAATAACGACAAACCATTTAAACTAGAAATTAATAAAAGTGATACTGAACGTGACATTTGGTAGACATGGACAAAATAGACATGCATTTAGTATACCGGTAAATTTATGTAAATATATAAAAACTTCTGAATTCTTAAACATCGATCGGCGTTGGTTCCTTGGAGCATATGCTTGATATTGTCGCATATATTTTAAGCGTGGCTTCGTTTATGGTATTTATGTGTTATTTAAATCATTACTTTATGTCAACATGGTCTAAATAATCGCGGAATTATGCGTGTTATCTGAATCGCGCGTTACAAATAAATAACATTGTTGGCCTCCTTAAAAACATTGTCAAATAATTACATATTAATAATTTATTGGTTCAATTTATAAACACCAATTAATTACATAATTATTAATTGTGCGATAGAACAAATTAACATGAAAATTAATCAATTTTACAAGTAATTTCTATGTTATCATTTTTTTTCTAACGGAATTTTCTAGCCTTCTCTTTTATTTCGCCGATGAATGTTTTGAATTGGATTTCCGATTACGAAGATGATAAATGGTTGTCAAGGCTTTTCAGTTTTGTTCTTAAATTGGTGCCTCAAATTTATTTTGACACAAGAATGAATTATGAGATTCAGGACTTGAGTTTCGAAACAATGTCCTTCAGGAACTGGACTAGATTCTAGATAACGTCAAAGAAAAGAGCGAAGTTTGTGGTAATTTCAAGATACATACATAAATCAATGATGTAGTCATTGTTATATTTCCAGAAACTTATGCTTTTTACAGTTTAAAAATATTTTTCCACCACGTTATTTCCTCTTAACAAACACATGTGTTATCTTTATTATAATTTTTTATCATTAAAAAACTTTTTATGTTATGTATTATGCTATAATTATATCTCTATTGAGCAACAAATTATTGAAAATTCAATAAAGCTTTATTCATTTTGATAAGGAATTATAAATTTGGAAATATAAACTGAGATATTTGCTTAAATGTATTTACTGATAGTTTCTATAAAATTATTCGTGGATTTAGGGAACAGTGTAGCCTAAAATTTTTTATTTATTCCTCATTAATCTATTTATAGTTTGTTTACGGTGTTTTCATCTATATCACCCCAAGAAATTGTGATAAAACAATTTTAGATAGTTATATTTAGTCGCTTTGTTCGCAAATATAGACAAATATTTATTTATGAATATTATATCATTAGATAAAGTATATTCATAATTATAAACTGGGGAGTTTGAGATAATGTAACGGGCAAAAAAATTTGGGGACAAAGCTAGTGAAATTTTTGTGAAATTAAGAATGGATGTGAAAAATCTGCTCGTATTACAATAAGTGCATTCCAGATAAAAACTGTTTACGAATATTTGTGTAAAAGTAGTTATACGTGTTTTTTTGTTTTCCATCGAGGATGAAAACAAAAGTTTTAAACACAAACATTTGCCCGCATGCAACTAGTGTGGCAAATTTGTTCACAAATACGAATTTTTGGATCTTGATTAGGTTTTAAAAGTTAAAACAAAGATTTTAATCAAAATAAGAATAAAAATATGATCGATTTATGTAGAAATGAGAAAACATTTTTTAAGGACATTCCAACTTATTTTAATTAGCACTTAGATTTTATGAAGTCTCTTATGGATGAGAAAAAAGTTTCATTTTCATTAAAAATATATAAATAGAAGTAAATATTCCACAGCCAGCTCGATTGTGAAATAATAGTACTTTAAATGAGAATCGTTATAATTACGCTTCATTTTTTAAAATTAATTCATCAGGGCACCTTGAACATAACATTTAAATATGTATTATACTTATTTAGATTCCATATTGTCTATTTGGGATAACGTAATTTTGTAACGTTTGCAATAGATTCCGGCAATCCATTCTTAAAAATAAAAATTACTCAATAGAGAACGAAAATAAGGACTGAAAGGCTTTGTGTATCCGTGAAAAATTGCACATATAAACGCCCCTCTTAAGTTCTAAAGGGTTGATAAACACTATCCAATAATTGGACCAATCTAGGGTTTTGTTTCTCATAAACAGATCTTACGATGATTTTCTAGGAGTGTGGATGAAGAATTGATCACCTTTTTGACCACTGCATATCTATCTGTTGTACTAGTAACGCAAAATGCAATGCATACAACCAACCAACAGTATAAAGCATCGGAACTCATCGTTTTTGTCTTCATTTTGTAGAGAAATCTGTAGAGGTAAATCCACAAAAATTAATCAGTAATCTTTTGTACTTATTAATTAAAAATGTAGCAAAACGTCATAGTCAACAGAAGCAGAAACTATTTATAATCATTCTACACAGTAGTAAATCATTTAAGAGATATTAAAGATAAACGATTTAAGTAATCGTGCGTATTTTATAACAACGTTTCAGGAAAGGTATTACTTAATTATTTGTTTATAAACATTAAGTATGTTATCTCTAATTAAGATAGCTGCAGAGGTATGTGTTACATTACAAAAAGAACTTTGATATATTTCACCTGTGGAATGTTTGCCAAGGTTAAAATAATTTTTATATTTTGGTTTACATTTTTAATTAAAGCTAAACTCGGTGTTCCACGTTTTAAGATAGTTTAGATATTTTAAATATTGTTTGATTTTTATTAAAATGCACAGATTTTTGGTAATCTACTCTAACGTTTTGAGTTTCGAAAAGAGAAGCACAATAGTTGTTCCAATAAAAAAGAAAGTACTGAAGAAATGCCAGTTTCAGTCTCTGAAGTTGTATCTAGTGATTTTGGAAAATGGGAAATGTGGTCAAAGACAATTCGAAGAGAAGGAATATTCTTTCGAAGAAATCCGTGTGGATAATCGATATTTGCTTAACTTTACATTACATTAACACATTTGCTCTTTATCTAACCTAGTTGATAATTATTCCATGTTTAAGGTCAAAATACAAAGTAAAACTGCGTCTCTAGACGACGGTAGTAATTAAAAAGAATGTTTGTACTTACTGTGTCACCGTCCAAAGGATGAGCACAAAACAAACTACACATATATCCATTTTATGGAAGAAGTCAGCACTACTCGTGGAAAAGCATGCACGCCAAATGTCTTCGGATAACATTTAACTTTATCGCGATATTGCGTGACGCGCGCCAAATTTGAATAAATTTTAATACACTTTATCACAATTTCAATGTAACAACAATTACTACGACTTTTTGGGTTAGCCGCTAGCGCTAGTGCGCCAACCTTCACATATCACGGGCCGAGTGATACACAAAATTGCATTTTGAATTCAAACAAGGTTATCGTGCAGCTTTATCGGCTTTTATAATTTTTAATAATTAATTCAGTGTACATTAATAAGGACGATAGACAAATATTTGTGAAATATTTTTGAAATCAGTCTGACCCCTATTTTTTATCTGTGTCAGGACGTTACGGATTTCATTTTAACCCGGCCTTAGGGACGGGAGAATATTTTTAAAAATAAATCCTTAGCCTGGACAATTTTCTATTGTATTTCCTCTATCAGGCTCAATGTTCTGCTATAATTAAGTCAGTACCATTTTCTATGTTATATTTCAAATTCGGTAGTATTTTCTTTTACATTTTTCATTTTTCGAAACGTTCGCAATAATCAGTTAAAATTAGATACTTCAATTCTTACTTATAGTTGGCTTCTATCCACGAATAAACTAGCTACATATTTTGTGACAATTCGTAAAAAAATCTATTTTCCGGATAGTGCTGATATTATTATCATTGATATGATTTCCTTCCATAATACCTAAACCCAGAAAAATTTGAAAATACTCATTCATTGGTGCATTTTGATCAATTGGGTGCATTTTTGCACTTAATTTAAATTTATATTCGTTTATGTTAACTCATGCAACTAGAAATTTAACACTAAATTTCTAGGAAATACTAAAAATATTTGTTTTACTACTGATAATCGAGAAATACGCATTCGTTCATGCAGATGCAATTGCAAATTTAAGAATGGAATATTTTTGAATGATAACGTAGTATTTATTTATAAAAATGCTAGTATGCTGTGGGAATTATTTTATCGTACAAATGCAGTCCGTAAGTGTCTAACGAATTACTAATTTGGCATTGCGGGGAGAAAATTCTAGAAGATATTCCTTACAGATCTCACTTTATACATTAAAAAATAATTCCCCATTACGTAAGGAGAAATTGAACCCTTATTGCAACTATTAAAACATATAAATTTACAGTTTTCGAAACTTCTTAAACTGTTTACAGACTTGTATAGTCTTTCCGAAGTCAGTTGAACATGTAAAAAAACGCCTGGCAATAAAATTTAATGACTTTCATAGGCATCCTTAAAAAGGTTTTCTGCTAAAAGTAAAAATTTATAATAATTTGTATATAATTTGTAGAAAATTTCTATTATAATATTCATTTGGCCAACAACATTAATTGTCCTCAAACAATTGTATTATATTGATGGTAAATTTCGTTTTGTTCCGTTTTAAAAGGTCTCCAAAATGCCATGTTGTAATAATATCATTTCTCCCTTTCGCAATTGTAATATTAATGATTAATAGAAGGTGCCTATAATAAATTAAAATTACCCGAATCACACCGCAATTTCGCATTGCTGCACTGCACTGCTGGGCGATTTGTCAATGAAATTTATTGCCCAGTGGCCCAACGCAACTGTGTTTGTATCTCGTTTGCCCGTGTTCGCATTCTTCAACTTGGCGTATAAGATCCACTTCTTATTTGTGGAAGGGCGAAATGGGCGGTGACTATTAGACGCCTTCATTATAGCCATCCTTCTCTATCACACGGATTTCTATGACTTACTTTATCACTCTCACGTAACGACCGATGAACTTTCCGACCCTGTACTTGTATGTATACTTTTCATATTTTGAGATCAAACCAGGGATTTCAAAATAACTTGTAGCCTTATACTCTCAACTTTTTCTTCTTCTTCTTCTTCTTCTCTTCTTTGTCTCTTCTTCTTCTTCGTCTCTTCTTCTTCTGATTTACTGAAACCGAAGCCAACTAATTATTTAGTTACATTAACCTACATTCTATTACGAATTGTTGAATTTCAAAAAAATCCGCTACAAACTCGAAAATCTTAAGTTTTCTTATATATAAAGTTTGCTAATTCATATGGATTTCACGTTTTAATAAAAGTACCCAGCATCCAACGTCCCATATTGGCCAAAACGTCACCTGCTGCCCGTCGTTACTAATCATCAATCGACATCACCGCGAATAACGAGCTTATTACCACGCGATCCGGTAAAAAGGGTGTCGTGTTGCAATCGGGGTTGCGAAAGGGATCTCTCACGGTAAGGCCCGTACACACCGGAGGACGGAAAGACATCGGGCTCGCAGGGACACACAGCTGCAGTACGCAAGTGTTCGATGAAAGGACCGAGTTGCCTCGAGACAGGCCCAAGCATGATCGCGCTTATTAAAAAAAACACATCATAACGTCGTATGAGGTGTAAAACCTTTCATGTCAGTCCAGGTAATTTTACAGGAGAAGGTAAAATAGTTAAAAAAAAATGTTTCTCAGTTCTGATACAAATTCAAAACGCATGCAAAGTCAGTACGTGAATTTAAGTCAATGGAAACTATTTCTCACTAATTTCTGTTTAATCTGCCGTAAAATAAAGTTAAATACTTAAATTTAGTTATCGATTTTTTTGTATTTTTACAGAAATTTTGAATTATGCACTCCTAATAAAGAAGATCTGCTAAATACACTCAGAATATCAAAAGAAGTAGATATCCAACAAAAGAAGAACAAAACTGTAGCTTAAAAGTTGATATTCTGTTGTTCGTAAAAAATATAATCCCTCAATATATGTTTGTGTGTAATATGCTTGTACCCATGAGGCATATGTCGAATAACGTGAGAAAAATGGATTAAAATGTTCTCTTATCGGTGGGATATTTATTTTTGTAACATCTTAAAATTAGCAATTGCCTTAAATTTAAAACACAGATTTTATAAGGGTGTTTATTAATTTTTTCACCGTTTTTTTCTCTATTAAAACCTGTTGTTTGAAGGGAATTTCTAATTCTCTCAACAAAGGACTAAACATATTCACACTAAAATCAAGCCACTTTTACTGAATGTACAACTAACCATACACATTTAAAGTTTACTGTAACTTTAATTGGCGGCTGTACTTCAGCCTGAATATTTTCGTTTTTTTTTTTGTCTATTTGTCAAAAAAAACTAAATTATACGTAATTATTTCCAACAAATATGCTGTAATTTCGTTTTGTTTAAAAAAATCATCGAGAAAATTATTTGTATTTCAAAATTTTTTCACCTCTTAATACTGTCCTTTATGCCACGGCCTGGTTACAAAGCGAGCCTAAAGCAACGCTGACTGCGATTGTCCCGGTCCCATCTGCATGTTTGGTCCGGGTGTGCTCTGTTTTCTGTTTATATCACTTTCATAAACCCAACAAATGGTCTCTTTCTAAAAAAACTTTGAGGTTCTGGCCTCGGTTTATTATGTTTTTGTCGGTTAATTATTTTGGAGCAATGCGGAGAGAAAAAATTTCCCGGAAAGGCATTGGGTCTGTTTAGGCCTAGGAACATACAGAGGAATCCTTTCATTCAGCTTGTACAGAACAATTTTTTCTGCATCTGTAATAAAATATAAAACATGATATTTTATTATGGAATAGTTGGACTTTCCATTTTTCAAAAAAAATCAGTTTTTTTATTTTAGTTTCATATATATTTGAGAAATAAAAATTGAAATATTTAAAAAAGTTATAAAGTTATAACATCTGACAACTATCTACAAATGTTGTTAATTTTGAAAAAAAGATTCTAACACAGAAATGGTTAATAATTATTATTACTATGACGTAAGAACCAAGCATATTTGTGTTTATTACTGGTAAAACCAAAATAAAAGCAACCATATTCAATAAAACTATTAGCTGATCGGGTTAGGTAAATAAAGTATTACGTCGTGGATTATTACAGATTTGAGTATTACTTTTGGCAATACATATTTTACGATTACGTTTAGCCTCAAGTTCAATGCCAAGTCAGTGGTGTGGACTATTTATTTTTAACACCAGTCTGTAAGGTTTGCATGTGAGGAAATCAAATTAAAAAGTTGGTCTGAACATAATTCAGGAAAATATAGTATTCGATAAAATATTTCTAAGTATTAGAAAATAGGGATGTAACTACTAATTATATAATTAGACCAAAATGGCTTTTTCTTAATAAAGTAATTCGAAATGGAAACATATTAGAAGTGACTAAAAACTTAGTGGTCAAATACTGACTATGCTTGTGTTAACGATAAAGGAAATTTGAGAAAATATAGATAATTTTAAAATAATTATAGCTCATACGTAACCGACGATAATGATTTGATAATTGCTTAAAATAATATTGATTGGATAATGACTGACGTCATAAATTTTCGCACTGCATGCAAATTAGGATTACGTTTTAATAAAAGTTAAATAAAAAATATTTGATAGATTAAAATAAACTTTATTCATAAAAAATATGTCACTTCCTGAATTTTTTTACATAAAAATATTGTTTTTTAAGAAAATGTACCATTGTCAATAATTATTTCTCGAAAAAATGCTAAAACAAATTTTTATTTACAAAATTAATAGTTTATAACAAATTAATAATTAATTATTGCAAAATGAACCGTGCAGTTGTTACTATTTTCAAGCGCTACCCTAGATTTAAAAAAAATGTTAAAACTGGTCCATAATTACCGGAGACATCGCAAAATTTTCGGGCAGTTAAGATTTGAAGTGTCTGAACGTTTCTGTCTTATTTCCCCCACCACATTCCAGGTGTAAAAATGTATTCGAGGACGTTTTTAAAGAGTTAAAAATTACTAAAAATAATTTTTTTTTCGATATCTTTAACCGTTATTATGAAGTTTAAGGGTTGATTGATTTATTCCCGAAATTTCAAGTCTTAATGTTTTTAAATAAACAAGTTATGAATTTAAAAAAAAACACAATTTTATATCTTCTTATCTCGGCTAAAAATGGTCCTAGAACAATTTTTTTTTTAA